ATGAAGTTTTGAAACTGCATTTTACCATGTTTGACATTTGACATTTATTTATCATTGTTATCAAATTAAAATATATGTATGTATATACCTCGGTACGGTTGGACGCTTTCAAAATCCGATACATATTCTGAGCTGCATTGTGTAGATCGGTATTTCCACAGCCACAAATTGTCACTCCCAGTAGTGTCAGTCGCTGTTCGGTGGCTGCCTTGAGCAACACCAGCAAGGCCCACGCATCGTCGCTGCCGCCATCACAATCCAAAAGAACAAAACGATTTTGTGTCATTTAACGCAGCAGTTCCCTGTTCGCGCTTAGTATTTTTTTAAATCATCACTTTTCCGTCGGCTACAGAAACCGCTTAATGTTCGGAAGAAAGGTATTTGTATGAGGGAAATATTAAATTTACGAGTAAACGCACATACGTATCGTCGATGTTTTTGCAAAACCGCCCATCGACCAGTTGCAAAACCGCCTGCCTAAATTGCCGTTGTAGCAAAAATGAGATTTGGTAACCCTGAACTCCAAGCATCGAGATTTATGCATAAAAATCGTTAAATCCTTATTAAAACAACAGATTTGTAAAATAATAGCTAGAGAAAATACCGCCTATCATGGCAATGCCTTCAAAGAATAAACCGTTTTTTCGCTCTCCTGTAAAATTTGAGTAACGAAGATAGGCGGTTTTGCAATTGGGCAATGGGGGGTTTTGCAAAAAACCTCGACGATATGTACGTATAGGTAAAGTAGCACAAAATAACTTTTTTTATTATTAATTTTTGCCAACGCTTTTTTCTTGCTAAATAAAAATATTCCTGCGTACTTGCTCTCTGCTGTCCGATTATTGCGAGCTGTTCCCAAGAAACTATTCCGGCATACTAAATTGCAGAGCAGAGCAAGTAAGTGCGCCGCGTGTGCGAAGGCGGTTTGCGTTTTACATATCTTACACACAAACACAAACATGTGTACATATACATATATATGTATATTCACTTAATCAACCGGCAACGATCACCATTACTGTAGCGTTATTATTTACATTTGCCTTGATATCCCGCACACCAAGTACCTGACGGCATTTGCTAACAAAGAGGTATGTACATATATCTACATTTGCATATGTATGTATGTATATATAAATATATAAATGCACATATGTATGTACATACATATACAGCGCACTCTCGAAAACGTGAACAAGCTTTTTTGTGCATTGACTATTCTAAAACGTGAGTAAGGCGAGAAAGCTCCATAACATGCACAATAAAAGTTTCAATGTTTGAATGTAGTTCCCATTGAGCTCAAAAATTCTGAACTCGGGGAATCCCCTAATAGTAAGTTACGCATGTAACGCATAAAACATTTCCGTCACAATTTTGACTTTGAATGGAGTGTTTCACCTTAGATTTGCTGCTTAAAAATTAGTTCTAAGAAGCCTGTGTGCTTGACATTAAAAGAAAAAGCTTAAATTCTCGGTTTTTTACAAAAAGGGCCGAGTGTGACGTTCTTAGCGAAGAAATATAATGTTGCTAAGTGAACAATTTGTGGCATTAGTGGAAAAACAAAAAAAGCCTGCGTACTTCAGAACTGCCCAAAATGGAGAAAGCTCTTTATCGTTGGTTTATTCGTATGCGAAATAAGAACTGGCCAGTGAGTGCTTTAATGCTGAAAGAAAAAGCCAAAAAACTGCATTCAAAATTTAAGGAAGGCGAATGTGATTTCTACGCTAGTGATGGATAGCTTCAAGGACTCAAAAAAAGATACGGCATTCGACTTCTTCAAATATCAGGCGAAAAACTGTCTTCGCAGCCTCGGCTAGTGGATCCGTTTAAAGACAATGATCAGCTATATAATGCTGCTGAGTCCCGCTTATTCTGAAAACTTCTTCCAGAAAAACCGTACGTGTCCAGTTTGGAAAAGAGAGCCAAGCGTAAAGTCGAGAAGCAGCGAATCATGTTCTTGTGTTGCTCAAACGCCACTGGATCTCATAAACTTAAAATTTTTGTAATCGGAAAAGCGAAAAATCACGAAGCTGCACTACAGAAAAAGCCTTTTAGCTTCAATGGCAGCGACGCAATCTGATTTGCTCGAGTCGATGAAGAAAATAACATTAAAAAAAGCTATAAATCTTTTGGATGCCGCTTGGGGTCGTGTCGGCGCGAAGAAACCCTAGCTAGGTGCTGGAACAATATTTTAAATTTTGCCAGAAACGATGATGATACTGAAGATAGTATGCTGTTGGCGGTTTTAATAGCAAAATGGGGAGCTGAACTTCGCTCCTTGATGTTCAACACCGTCGATCTTCTTCTCAATTTAAATGCTGAGGTTTGTTCGTGTGCGCAGATATGCACAAAGATAAGTGAGTTGTTGAAAATTTTGTTCTTATTAAAAATTTCAGAGTGAATGTACTTTATCAACCGTTCATGAATGGAACGAAGATATTGAGGTAGATAACGGAGGATGACGATATTGAACAAGAGGACGAATCCGATGATGACTGCGTCTTAGAGGCACCGGAGCAAATTAAACCAAGTGAAGCAGTAAAAATTTTCAACAAAGGTGTACAGTAGGCTAGCCATGAAGGCGTCGATCAAAACGAAATGAACGTACTGAGACGTTTAAGGGAGAAAGCTTTGCTTCAGAAGACACAAAAAAAGATGACTGATTTTTTTAAATAAAAAATTTTCTCAAGCTTACGTTTCATATCATATCTCTTAAACTCAAATTAATATGTAAACAAAATAATAATAAAATGTCAATTTAAATGAGTAAATATATGCGCATTCGAAAACGTGATACACTTTTGTTAATGTGAACTCCCTTGGTTTTAATTAGTTCACGTTATCGGACGTGCACTGTACTCCAGTCTTGCCACGGTAAATTTTTTTCCCTGCCAAAACCAACCAAAACCTACCAAAATTTTTTTTAGCCTTTAATTATTTTTCAATGTAAAGTTTATTAAAAATGTAAATAAGATACCATTTAGTAAAACTAAAACACAGCTAGCACAATAAAAACAAATTAACTGGGTACATATTGTTCATATCATATAACCTCAAATATCGCCAAAAACCTTGTAGGGCGCTCCACCAGGCCTCTTTTTCAATTAGAATAGACAAAGGGGGAATGTCTGTAATGACACCAACGGCATCCGTAGGACAGGGTAGGACAGGTGAGCATAGATTCTGTGATAGCCACGCGGACCAGTTGGTGCAGCTTACTCAAGGTGGCACCCGCGTTTCCTTGCTTAACTTTTGGCCACCAGGCCAGTGCCGCATATGTAACGACGAGTTTTACTACCGTATTTAAATACCAGTACGATGGATAGGGTGATATTCCCCAAGTCTTACCATGAAGTCTCTGAGACAGATATAAAGGTAACTTGTATCCTTGTTGGTAACATTCCACAGATGTGAGTTCCAACTGAGCCTTTTTGTCCAGAGTTATGCCTAGATGCTAGTCAAGTTCACTTCCTTCTTTTGGTAAATGGGACAATGGTGGACTCAGTGGGCTTATTAGCAAGCCCTTTTAAACGCACCTGTCTTCAGTACATATACTAAAAATATACTAAAATGTTTGGAAATACATATTTTCTATTTTTCGCAAATAAATATTTTTGTCGCGGAACCTACTAAAATTCAATCTAGCTTACCAACCTACCACATGGAAATAAACCTACCAGTTTTGGTAGGAAAAACCCATGTGTGGCAACACTGATATACTCCAGAAGGTTTCAGAAAGCCGGCAAGTTAATTTCTCACTCTCTTTTTATTTTTCCACCATTTTTAACCATTTCAATTGAGTCTCAATTTTGTAATAAAACTTAAATTCTTATGAATAATTAGAATCCCTTAAGATCTGAAAATTAAATATGACCGGTTATAGTATGTGTATATAATGTGTAGAAAAAATAGAAAAAACGGCCTCGAGCTCAATAAAAATTGTTGTATATAATTGTTATAAGGCCATAAAATAACAAAAATAACAAAAACGAAAATATTTGACTCCAACAAGAAATTTTTAAGCAAAAAACAAAACCGACTTCAAATCTCATTTAAAAATTTAAGGAAACCGTTAATTTCTTCATGATCCAATAATCGTATCTTAACCAAATTAGTATGGAACCACCTCTGAGATAAAACGTTTCCTTCAAAAAAATCAAGTGTACATGGCGTATGAGTAACATTCTGTTCCGCTCATTTTTCATATAAAAAATTTTTGCGTATTTTCATTTGCCCACTCATTATTTCTTTATTTATCGATCGATTTTTTTTATTGGTAACTTGATTTCATTGTAACAGAGCAGGCTTTAGCACAAATGCAAACATTTCGCACAGAACCTGTTTTTTTTTAATTTTTCTTCTGTTAAAGTTTGATTTTTTTAATTTTTTCATAAAAAAAAATTACTGAAATGATTAATTAATTTGTCAGAAACAATCAGTCCTATCGGAAAGTGAAGTATATATGGTTTATGGTTTTATTAGCTTTCATTTGCCGTATCTCATTTTAAGATCGTTAAATTGGTTCGTAAGATATATGTACATGATTAAGTGGAACCACTTTTTATTTTAAGCCAAATAACGGTAAATTGCAAATATCTCGAAAACATCTCCATGGAAAAAAATTAACTCGATTTTCGGAATCACCGAGAAATTAGATAGTGGCATCCATTGAACATTTTTTCTGTAAACCAGTGAAATTTTTAAATATCATCGAACAACCGAAATCCAATTTTGTTTACACCTGCTGCATTCAACTAAAAGCTACCCGTACAATCGCCTCATGTAAATTCCCCATTAGGAATGCAACAATTGGGTTATATCAATTATACGACTTCAAATCTTCGGCTCGCTCACATTGTGATGCATCTTTTCGTACAATCGTATTCGTTACTCTTTTCTTGGTATAGAAAGGTAATGCATTCCCCATTTTCCGACTGGGCAGGTATGTTCATATACATACATACACACTTATAAATTTTATAGTACACTACTATTTATCTATGAGAAATAAATTAGACAATTTGATAAGCATTGAGTGAATACATACTATAGCGGCAGTTTGCATTCGGCTTTTGGTGAGGTGAAATAGTTTTTATATGAAACTTTTACAAGTGTGAATACTCAAGTCCATAAAGTATGTATTAAAAAGGATCAGTCCAGCGCCTTCGTCTTGACCTGTGTCACAGTCACAGCCGCTAAATTTAAACGTAGAATACGTGACATTATTAAGATCACAATCAAGTTAAAAACGGTACATGAAATATTCGTTTTGATTGTATTGAATTGAATTTCCCAGTGGGAAAATGGGAATCCATTACCTTTTTCTACTAAGAAAAGATTAATAACTACGCTTGAACGAAAAGATGCATTGCAATGTAAGCGAGCGGATGATGTGTAGCTTTGAAGCGACAAACAATACAAAAAGTTTGAAAACTAACTCAAGTATGTTTTTTGTTCACATTATCTCAACAGCTGCTGTAGCCGAATGGATATGTATTCGACTGCCGTGTTGTTGGTCACGGGTTCAAACCTGTGGCACGGACTTTGTTTTTTATTTTTATTTTTTTATTCTATTTATAGTTTCGTAAAGCAACACGCGACACATTACTTTCGTAAGACATCGTTGTGGAGAAATTCTTGCATCTTTTCGCTCGTCGGTTATAGGGGCTATCCATTACTTTTTACATTCGCAGACGTTACCTTTTCCCAGTGGGATAATAAATCAGTATGAATTGAAAATATAAATAAAAAGCAGTAGAGAAGCAGATCCACATTAACTTCACCCATATGTAGCATCAGCTTACAAATAGATATATGCCATGACGTGTATCACTACTTGGATTCATTTTTATTTCCTTTCATAAGTGCATAAGTTAGCTAAGACTTTGGAAACAGCTGGCAACCCTC